GAACCAAAATCAAACACAAAAGAAAAAAAACTAAAAACCTTTTAAAAAACCCTATAAAAAATTTAAAAAAAAAAAAAAAAAAAAAAAAAAAAAAAAACTGTAGCACTAAATTTTGTCTCATAGTGAATTTTATTTTAGTTTTATTCCACACTGATATATGTCGATCAGTGGTGAATTCTTAAAATGGGAGAATACATTGATCAAATTTTCATGAAAAATAAAAGGTATTTTTAAAGGAAAAATAAAAGGAGGAAATCACAAAAATGGTTAAAAAGAAAAACTTACGTGTGAGTCTAAATGATGGTTTGCTTATCGTCAAAGGTAACTGTCTGGTCTTCAGACTTTGATATAAAATCTTTCCAACTTTTTCCTTGATTCGTTCAGCACTATCAGTAGACGGGTATCGAAACATGAGCACCATAAGAATATTCACACCTTGTTCATCTGGACTGAAGAGCAAAAGAACAGATAAATAGTGCCATTTCTCTACTAATTAATTCTATTTATCTAATAAATTGTGAAAACACATGGATGATATATGTACATACCAGATAATTATCTCTAGATACAGGAAATAGAAATGGATGTATCGTGATCAAGAAGGGTTGGACGCAAGGTAGAATAAATAAAGGCAAAATGCTAGAAATACTGGATAAGATACACACCTGAAAAAAAATCGTTCTTTCTCCTTACTGAGCTTATAGTTTAGAAGGGTATGTGGGAGGAGATGTTCAGGAAATCATGCTTTACATGTACTTAGAAGATTTGCTTTTTAAGGCATTTTGAGCAAAAGTTGTAATCAACATCATTATTCTTTTGTAGTATTGTGTCAGAGGCAATGCTTTTGTTTACCAAACCCAGTTTCCTTTGCCTCCTGAATGCAGAGCTAGATTTCATTTTCAAGCTTCTCTTGAAGTTTATTGAAACTCTTTAATGAATTCTGGACAATAGGATGTGGGCAGAAATGATTTCCCCCACTTCCAGGCCTGGCTCCTAAAATTAGCTTACACACTATTTTCCATGCTCTAGCTTGGCCCTTGTTTGCCAACCGGATGCAGGAGATCCAGTGGGCAATTCCATTCCAGAATCTCCACCAGCACCCAAACCCCTTGCTCCCACTTCTGACTCTTTGAACTGTACTGTGGAAATGAAATAAACCTTTATGTCATTAAAACACTAATATTTTGGGGTTTGGTGGTCAGTTAACAAATAAATGATTAGAGAAAGGAGATATAAAGGAAAATAATTTGATGAACAGTTTAAATATCTAAATTTATATTGTGATGAGTAGGGCTAGAGAGCCTCTCGTAGCCTTTTGAGAATGAATGTAATTTGAAAGACAGAAGAAAAGAAGAAAGAAAGGAAGGTAAAAAAGGAAAGAGGGAGAGAAGGAGAGAAAAAAGGAGAGGAGAAAGGAAAAGAAAGAAAAGTAAAGGAGTGAAAGAAGAAAGGGCAAGACAAAAAGAAAAGGCACAGGCTCCTTTATCATTCAACCATATGTATATTTAGCACCAAGAAGCAAAACAAACAAATATTACAAATGTATCCTTATATACATATCCATATATATGGATATATATATGCATCATTGTGGAATCTAGGACTTTTAGACATTACATAAAACACATATTCAGGATGGATTCTAGTAATTAAGTTTGATCTCTGGTAATAACTCCATGTTTATGCATATTTCCTTTCACCAAAACATCAAAATGAAAAAGCCAGTTTAAAATAATAATAAAAATGCACTGGCATTAAAGAAAAATCTTGTTGCAAAGAAAGTCATAGTCTGATGGTTGGGTAGACTTAAAATGAGGAAAATAAAAAAGACAGACATTTTGTTTAGTGCCAAGTTTAAGAGGTGGGGGATCGGGGAGCTGTAGCAGCACCATCCCTTTTCTTTCTGTATTTTTTTAAAATCTTTTTTTCTATCTAATAACTGAGACTCTTTTATTATAGAGCACTTTACATCTTCCTATTATGACTAGGAAATGCTAGGTAGTATAACCTGGGCTGCTCAAGATTTATGAAACCTTGTGTTGCTGCAAAGATTTATTCAAGGCAGCTGAGCAATCATGTTGATCAAATATTTCACCTTAACAGTATTGGTTTGAAGGTACAAACCAAGTTTACATACCTTAATTTGATAACATGAGATTTGATAAATCGACCCCCTCCAGAACGTCGAAATATCCTAGACATCTGATTAAAAAAAAAAAAAAAGTATTAGTCTTAAGAAAAAGTTACTCCTTGTCTTATCTAGAGACTTGGAGCAAAGACAAGGTTCTCAGTTTATTTCCAGCCATGTAAACTGGTTTATTCACAATGGTAAGACTAAATCTGGGTTCTAATTCTTAAACCACTGTAAAATAGTATAACAACAATATCTGACTCAAGAGTTGATACAAGAGTTAAGTGAAATCATACCACACATTTCACACCTTGTCTGGTATCTATCAGATTATTGATAATAGTTCTAATTATTGTCAAAGGAATTAAAGTATGTGTGATTTTTTAAAGGTAGCATCCCCATTTCTAAGAAAACCCACCTTTTTTGCTGTACTTATTCCTGATTATGGCCTCTAGTCCACTATTGATACCAGTTTGTTGATTTCTTAAATGATCATGCCATTACTAGACCATGTGACACAACCATAACTTGTAACATCATCTGTAGTGTGACTCCAACACCCTCACTTGTTGGTCATCCCTCCATGACATGCAGGATTTCACAACTGGTACTTGGGTTGGGAATAAGTTTCACCACGCTCCATAACATCAGCATTTCATCATTCAGCTTTTTCAGTCTGAGCCACTGAAGGATTTTGGTTATTCCTAAAGGGTCCTGATTCCCCAAAAGGGAGCCCAGCTGACTGCGAGGCACTACCTTAGAGTCAAAAGAGCACTGAACTTGAGTCAGAAGACAGAAATTACAGGTCCACGTAAGTTTACATAAGGTACACTTCCATGGTAAATCCTGTCCTTCAATTACTACATCTCTGGGAAGACAGAATATTATCTCCTTCTCCACAAGACCTCTTTCTCTCCCTGACTCTTCTAAACTAGTAACAATGGCCACTAGATTTTACCTCCTAAATATTAAATCCACTTCCCTTGCTTTAATCCATGGCTATGGTCTAAAATCAGCCTCTTAAAACTTGTGCCTGGACCTTTGCAGCATCCCCTCAGTCATTCCTTCACAATGCTAGCAACCAGGACAGTATCTCTAAAATGCAAACCTGAGTATAGTATACTCCTGCTTCAAGGCCAGTGTCTCCACCAGTGTGAGCACCACAACCTTATTCCTTTATTGGCCCTGCCTTGCCCCACCCCTACCTTCAAAGCTTCTTCTCTCTCTCTCTCTCTCTCTCTCTTTTGTGTTAATTTAAAGGCTTTTATTTTATAAAAGCTTATATGGCAATACCCGAGATAGAATTTGAACAGGCTTAATATATACTCCCTGACAAGATTAAGTACATTAATAGAGAAATATAAATAAGACTGGATCAGTAATAATATTTTACAGGACAATGAAGTGCTTCCCTGGAAGAAAAAAGATATTCCATTTAAGAAAGAGTAAGAACATTCACAGCAGGAAAATCAAATTTACATATTTAGAAACCATGAGAGAGTTACCAGGGAAAAATTTACTTAAAATTGTAGTTCCTTTCTTGATCTCCATTAGGATAGGCAAATTTCTTGGAATAACCAAGGAAAAACATCACTGAAACCTTTCTACCCACAGTTGAAAGTGAGGCAACTGTCCAAATAGCAAAGTAATGTTCCGGGCTTAATACATGGCATATAATTATCATGTCTTGTCTGTAGGCTGGTGATAATTCTCTTATTTTAGCTATGATCACTGAAAGCTCTTATTAAAATTCCTGCTAAGAGGACAGCAACAGTTAAAGCCATTGCACAATAAAAAATCAACTGTCTCTGTCAAAATCTCCTCAATGTTGGCACGCATTCTTTTTTTTTTTTCTTTTTTCCTTTTTTGTCTTTTTTACTGACCAGTAACGGGATCGCAACTCTTGGTGTCGCGCCCGTACCGGGGACCGGCAAGGGGATCGCAACCCTCGGTGTTGCGCCCGCACCGCACTCAGCCAGTGAGCGGGAACCGGTCTCCACATGGGATCCGAACCCTAGGCGGGAGCGCCGACGCGCTCCCAAGCGGCACACTTTCCAGTGTGCCACTGGGCCGGCCCATTGGCACGCATTCTCGGTATTTTCTTCCATCAGTCAGATGGTCTGGCTCTCTGGTCTGATGATGTCAAGCAAAATTACTACACAGGTTACTCCTCTGTCTAGGATAAGTAGTTCTGTTGGGGTGGGTGTGGTCTCTTTACCCTTTTTATAACAGCTTGAACTTGTGCCCACTCCACAACTCTATTCCGGTTTGTTCTGAAGATGTACATCAAATAGAAAAGGGCTTGAAAGAAGACACAAACTATCAATCCGGGCCAGATACCTACTATCTCAAGTTTAGCAGCAAACATCAGAGATGCTCCATTGAGAAAAACCAATGTCATTCAAAATAGCACCAATCTTCTGTTTTCCTTGCCAGTAGTGAATATACACACGACCACATCCTTCAAAGCCCACTGCAAGTACACACATACTGGCACACAGAAGAACAGTGATGCAGGAGAACCACGCTTGCCACAGGAACATAGTCCACTGGGACACTGGCTGCCACACCAAAACCAAGGGACACCATGTAGACCTCAGAGGTCAGTTCATAAATGATAGTCTGGGCTCTGAGCACTGTCACATTAATCAATCCTGCAAGGAAGGTTCCAATCTCAAAGGTCCCCCACTTAATACACACAATGAGTGCAATGAGAATAGCCAGCGGGATGCAGGAGCCCCACTCCTGGAAAGATTCCCTAGTCCAATCTCCCAGGTGGCAATGTGGATTTTTTTCCATCACCCATAGCGGAAAAGAAGAGAGGAAAGGAAGAACTGGTAAGTGGTGCCCTCTACTGCTCCGAGGTCCTGGGCATAGAACAAGAGCTCTTTCACGCCCACTTTGACGACATTTGCAGCAGTAATAATTTGAGGCATGATGATGCCTTGACTTGGTAAATATCTTGTCTGCAGCTGGAACAGGAATGCTGCCCTAAGAACACGAATACAAATCATCACATAAATTAATGCTATGCTGGAGACTTCAGGGTCTTGTTTTAAGAGGAGGAGGACGCACTTGGTATTGACAAGATGATCCAGCAAGAAAAGCAACATAGCATCAAGATGAGGATTCCTCGCTCAAGTGTGATTCCCACACGTTTTAGGCGCTTGCCTCCAAATGATTGAAACATGAGCATGTCACAAGCGGACGCTAATTCAGTTCCAACTAAAATCCCAGTAACATTCACAACCGAGACAGCAAATCTAACAGCATCCATCATATGGAACTGACGATGCTAATACGTTAGTTAGATCAACTGTGCAGGTGAATACGGGGGGCGGGGAGCCTCGAGCGCCGCAGGCTCGGCCTCCTCCCACCGCACATGTGCACCTGTGTGGATGGCGTGCCCGGCAGGTCCCGCAAGCAGCAGCGCCAGTTGGGGGTGCCCAGCCGCTGGGGGGATGGCGGGAGGGACCGTCCGTGGAGGCGCCCGATGCTGCCCCGGGTCGTCACTGGGGGCCCAACGGGGGGGGGGGGGTCCGGCGCGGGGGG